CTGCACCACCCAGGCGCCCCTCTACATTCTGATTTTTAAAAACATGTAAAGTTAACTAATATCATAATTATACATAGTTTAGGCTGTTTCTTCATAATGGCAAAATGAACTCGGTAAAAAAAAGTGCAGATTATGAAAACTGTCCAGATGTTTTCACTTCTGTACCACCGATTGTTACATTTGGTCCTCAGAAACCAGACTCTGAGAGTTTAGTGTGAGGATGTTTGTTAAGTAGTGCCCTTGGGCTCAACACCTGTGGAAGAACGAGAAAGTAGGCAGGAATCGGCACAAGTCGAGCTGTGACGTGGAACCAGTGACAGTCTTGGTTTACTCCATGAACAACTCTAGAGCTAGAATGGTTTTTTAGAGTTGTACTCCCTTGTGTCAAGATGATCAGGTCTTTTGCTCTCACATTAATCAGACATTAAAAACGGTCTGCCTTATCAGTTGGGGTTCCTGGATGGCTCAGTCCGTTAAGCTTCCAACTTCAGCTCAGGTCATGAGCTCACAGTTCGTGGGTTCGAGCCCTGCATCAGGCTCTATGCTGACAGAGCTTGGAGCCTGCTTCTGATTCTGTACCTCCCTCTCTCTCTCTCTCTGCCCCTCCCCCATTCATGTTCTATCTCTTTCTTTTTCTCTCTCTCAAAAATAAAATAAAAATATTTTTTAAAAATATTTAAAAAATGGTCTGCCTTAGGAATTGAAGTGACCTTGGATGAGGCAGCTCTCCTCGAAAGGGGCTACAGCCAAAGACCATCTGGTGGCAACACTCCCAGCTGCTGGGCATAAATCCTTCATGGAAGGGAGCCTGTCGTACATACCACAGTGTCCATCAGTAAACCAGGTTTATTGCTTCCTCTTATACACATGCTCTCTGAAATTATCAAATGATATAGCCTAGCAAGGTCATGGCTCTAGTGAAGAAAGAATTCAGACTAGTTACTTGGCTGAATCAGTCTGTTACATGACAAATATTTGGTTCAGCATCTCCATGTATAAACATACTGCTTTTCAGTTTCTCCACTTGTTAAACAAATGAACCAGAGGATGTATGGATCTCAGCAAAAGACCTTTAACTGACAAAAGCAATAAAAGTAGAAATTTCATCAGAAAAAAGTTCTAGTTAAGTCCCAAGGTCGTTAGATATTCAGTCCAGTCTCATGTCTTCTACAAGATAAAGAGTACTTACAAGAGGTCGATCAGAGAAATCACTCTGAGCCACTTAAGTGATACTAAATTAAGAAAAGAACCAAAGTATAGTCTATACCAATATGTATTAGGGCAGAAAAAAATGATTTGATGGAAAGAAGTTTAACAGAGAAGTTGAAAACAGTATTTTTCCTTTTATTAAAAAAGTCAAATAACAGCATACCCCAGAATGTATTAAATATTCCTGACACTTAAGATTTGAAGACAAAGATAAAGCTGTTTTGTAATCCAAACCATAATAAAAAGAATATCATTAAATATTAACTGGTTTATTCATTGGTGAATAACTTTGAAAGCTACAAGTTTTGTTCTTTTTAATTACCTTTCTTTATTCCTTACCTCCCATCCCTGTTCTGTCTCAGTGGTTTTCTGAAAATTGAATACAAAAAAAATCTGAAGGGTCGGTCATTTTAATAAATAATTCTTAAAAATTATTAGAAAAAGCAACAATAAAAGTGCAAACACTAGCAATCTATTATTCTCAGTTTTTAGATGATAAGCTATTTAATGACAGTCCTCTCAAGAAGGGTGGCTGTGTGTTAGTAAACTTTGATCTAATGAACTCATCTTAATTTTAATTAATTAATTAACTTAATTAACACATCAAGTGGGAAAATCTGTTTTGCTTCAATCCAACATACACTTTCTTTTCTAATTTTTTTTTAACGTTTATTTATTTTTGAGACAGAGAGAGACAGAGCATGAACAGGGAGGGGCAGAGAGGGAGGGAGACACAGAATCTGAAACAGGCTCCAGGCTCTGGGCTGTCAGCACAGAGCCCGACATGGGGCTTGAACTCACGGACCGTGAGATCATGACCTGAGCCAAACTCGGACGCTTAACCGACCAAGCCACCTAGGCGCCCCTAACATACACTTTCTGAACAATTTTGCTGTAGTTTTAAAATCTCAGTAGAGTACAAGCTTAGGAGTAAGATTCTGGTTAGGAAGAAAACTGGGGAGCTCATGGTGAAGCTGAATGTTTATGGAAAACATGCTGTTTAACTTGGATTTTATGTCCATTTAGGGTGTTCTGAAAGCTAATGGGGATGGCGGGGCAATGGCTAATGATCCACAGCTACTGTTGCCTGCTACTTGCAGGATGCTCTGTTGGGTACGGCTCTTATTAAAATAATTTTAAAAACACAATTTACCTCTTCAAGAAATTAACATCTAGCATACGGAGTGGTAGTGGGGAAGAAAACACAAGTGCATACATCTAAAAGCTAAGGGAATGAAAAGAGAGTCTTTATACCTATTTAAAAGGATCAGAATCTGTATCAGACACAGTGGCACTGGAGACAGACCTTAGAACATGGACCTTAGAGAGCTTGACCAGCTCACACACTATGATTATTTTTGGTGTTATCTACACATGCAAAAATGAAGTAAAAATTAGATGACAATTCAGTTCAAAGAAGTAGTGACTTAACCATCTCACAATGAATCCAAACTTCTAGGGTTCATTATTTGAATATTCACTTTCATATCTGATTTTATATTTAGTGCATGTAGGTACAGTTTCATTTGCCCACCGAGGCAATCAGTAATTACTACAATAGAAATAGCATCTCCAATGCTAATTTGATGCTGATCCACATCTGATGATGTTTTCACACATCTTTTGTGAGTTAAGTCAAGAGGGTTTGAAAACTGCCAGATTTTATAAAACAATTACCTGCTCAATACCGTATATGAATAACACTAAACTGAGTTCTATTTTATATTTAGGCCAACAGGTGACTCCAGCAGGAATTCTGAAGAGCCATAATGATGTGACAGTGAATAATGAGTAGTACCTACTGTGGCAACTCCTCAGCTAAGATGAGCGTCAATGAAGTATCAGCTTTTTCGTTGACTCTGGAACAAAAAACTGGCTTTGCTTTTGTTGGGATTTTGTGTATCTTCTTAGGACTTCTTATTATTAGATGCTTCAAAATCCTGTTAGACCCGTACAGTAGCATGCCTTCCTCTACATGGGAAGATGAAGTTGAAGAATTTGATAAAGGGACATTTGAATATGCACTTGCGTGAGAGTTCCACCTTTATGGTTTTTTAGAGTTATGCCACTGGGACCCATGGAAGATACAACTGTAATCTCCTCGAGCATGCTGGAAGAGGCTCACTTCATCCACTAAATTCAATAAACATGTATGGTTGGCCAAGTCATCTAATCTCTATGGACTTCAGTGAGGAAGCTAACCAGAGGATTTTTAATGTCCCTTTCAATTCTAGTGCCCTATGAACTCTGTGAACGTATCGGGAAACCCAGAGATCTGAGATGAATGAGGATTTAGGATGTTATGAAAATTTTTTCAGTTTAGGAGTCTCAATTCTGTGGTTTGAATTCTAATGTTGACTTAGCCAAGAAGCTTTATGACCTATAAAGCTGTCTAAGAGGAACCTTTCCATATCTACAAAAACAAGGATAAAGAAACCTATCCTGCATATCTTGCAGGAATGTTGAGAGGACCAAGTGATGTAAGATGAATGTGAAAGCAATATGAAAACCATAAAACATTGTTGAAACATACCTTGCAATCATTTATTATCCTCAGTGGTAATACTAATAAGGATTCTCAAACCTAAAGAAGCAATGGCTTAGTGTAAATTATTCCTTATTCAACCTTCATTCTCTTCATTTGATAAATGAAAAGATAGGATATTATTATAAAATAATAACAGCTACAAAATTTTGACTCTTTATGGTTATCAAATTGAGGAATATAGTAGGAGATAAATAAATACAAAACTATTTGTGTCACTTGAGAACACAGAACTGCCAAACACACAGAAAAAAGAATGACCAATATTTACTAAGAGTTTGCACCAAGTTGGGTGCTTTCCATTTACTATGTGATTTGATCCCCTTATGAATCCTTTGAGTTCAACACTACTATTTCCATTTTATTGTCTCAGTGTCACAGATGAGGAACTAAAGCTGAGAGAGATTACATAACTTCCCAGGGTCATCAAGCTAGAGAGTGGTTGTGTTAGGAATTGAATATGGGCAGTCTAATGTCAGAGTCATTATTTGTAAACATCATGCTGTGCTCCCAGACACTATCCTCAAGATTTCTATATATCTTAGAACTATGGTTGCTGCTCAGATCACTCCAAAACCAGTTGTGTCAGATATGATTCCCTGATACTTTCCGTCTCCTAATAGATTTAGAACACTTCTGTGTTGGCTGTTGATCTTTTGGACCAAGCCCACACCTCAAGGAGGCTCTTTGAGACCCATTAGGTATAGGAGTGTCGGCCTGGGACACCTTGTAGTCAGTTATTAGTTTGGTCCAAGAACACCTCATTGAGCCAAGTCAGCTGGACACACTGAAAGTTGTATATACCAGGACACTAAGCACCTCCTTTGTGAACCAGGTTTTTAAAGTACTTGCTAAGATATCTAGCTAAGTATAAGATGCACCTTTTGTCTCCCAGGGAAGACATCCAACAAGACCCTGCATTTTGGTGACTAGAACATAACAAAGTCAGATTTTTATTTCAAAAAGAAGACCCTAAAACCTAAAACACAAGAAAATTTATGAAGTATGAGCATTATTTCTGAAATTTCAACACTCACAAGCTTTTCATATCTCATCAATTCCACCATAGTATTATTTTCAATCCCACTAAACAGAAATTCTTTTAACCAAAAGTGTCTTTATCCATAGCATTTATTCATGATCTATTGTTCACCTTAGACTTTTGGGGGGG